GAGCACTTTGACAGGACCAGGGACTGCAATGGGGTTTCCTGGGTGTAAAAAATAGCCCATATAAAAGATGGAGAAACCTATTAATTACTTGAGAGAGAGCCTGACATGGAAAGAGCTCCCTTTATTTAGGCTTGTAGTGAAAATGGAGGTTTTACCCTGTAAGGCAGACCATTGTGATTTCTGGTGAGAGATTACTCATTTAGTGTGGATTTGCTAAGCCATGTGCATGTGGTACCTTGGAAGGCAGTTGTGATGTATGGCCACTTTTGCAGTAACCACTTCTTAAACAACATGTCCCTTTTAGGTGAAATTAATTTTTATAGCCAAGTTCTAAACCCTGACAATAGACTCGGGGTAATTTTTCAGTGTTGACCCTGGCGTCCATTCTCTCCTCACTTTATTGATGTCATGTCGGGAACCCCTTGATGAACTATTGAGATGTGAGAATCGGGGGGATTCACTGGTGTGGTATAAGGACGTCTTTGTGCAGTCGAGATCCCATTGTCTCTGTTCTTTTCATCTGATATTCACCCCAGCGCTGATATATACGTACGGCAACCTTTATACAACACGACTGCTCCACACTGGATAGGAATGGCACCAAAATGTACAGCTCCCCCAATCTGCTCATTTCTCCTCCAAAGGTCTTTACAGTGTTTTGCAATGAAGCCCATAGTGAAGCACTCCAAAGGAATTCTCATGGGGTTTTGCAGACAGTGTCATTTTTGTGTATGGAGGAGGCTGCAGTTATTATTGGTGATATCATTTGAAAAGGAACTTTGGATTTTATCTTGGGTTCTACCATGAAGCATTTTTTCCCCAGTGGAAGTGGTCAGCAGTTTTCTTCCCCTCCTTGCTTTTTCTTGCATCGCATTGTGACACTCAGCAGTTAACTTCTTCTAGCATGGTGCGTTGTGGGATGCCTGCTACCCCTGGAACTCCAGTGTGGCTTTAATTGGTCACGTTAGTAGAATGGTTGGCTGATGAAACTTCCCTAAAACTCAGTGCCCTGGAGTCAGATCAGACTGTACAACTGCAGCAGAAAATGGAGCTCCTGGGGAACGTTTATATCTAAAAAGAGGCTGAAAGAAGAACAGAGAGCACAGAAAAAGGGCTTTGTGCAAAGCACCTTCTCCATACGATGTTGATTTGGCCAGAGGGTTGCTATCAAAAATGCTGATGTTTGCTACAAGGTAATGTCTCTGTTTTGGAACTCATCTTGCTTTGTGTTTTAGTATTCTTTGGAGGGGAGCTTAGAGAATTAGGGGCCAGATTCCCATTGTTCAGCACCTTGTGTAATCTTTGCACGTACCTTGCCCTGGTATAAGTTACTGCACAAGGTGAAAGGCAATGGAGAATCCAGCCCTGCTTAACTGACATTCTGATGAACTGCAGGTGCAAAGAAGCGTCTCCACAGCTCTGCTGCCTTGTTATAGGTTCTGCGATTTATTTGTTGGGAGAACTCCCGAGATACTACAGAGCTATTTTCTCCCATTGAGGGTCAGATTCTCAGCAGCTGTAAATCAGCATTGACCTCAGTGGAGCTACTCTGATTTACACCAGTTGAGGATCTGGCCTATACATACACGTTCAAAAACTTTGCATTTGGGGCATGTATTTTTCCTCCTCTCCTCCATATATTTTTCAGTGGTTTTCATTATCTATCTATCTATCTATCTATCTATCTATCTATCTATCTATCTATC